AGGAGGACGAGGGGGAGATGAGCTGGATAGCGGGCCGGCGGGGACGCTTGCTCCGGGCACGCTGTGGGCTGCGGTGGTTCGGGCTGAGAGGAGGCCCGGTTTTGCCGATGGAGGAAGAGCTGCTGCTGCTGCTGCTTTCTAACACGGAGACCGGGCTCGTGGTCTCGTTTTTCGAGAACATGTAACTGTCTTTCGGGAGGGTTAGCCCTCGACCCGAAAACGAGTCCTCCATGAAAGTCGATAGCCATTCGAGCTGGGCTATGTCCTCATACTGAAAACAGGGAAATAAAGATTTAACATTTGAGAACTATTAAAGTTAAAATGATGATAAAATTAAGAAGGCACAAGATTGGTTTAAAGTTTAAACCCTCCATTGATATTTGAAATTTAAACTTTCATGGCCAATTGATTGCTTTTCAAAAGCAGCTCTTGCTTGCCCCCCACCACATTTTATGTTAAATTAAAGTCAAATAAGAAATCACATAATATATATATTTTTTTTTTTAATATAGACTAACAAACAAATATTATCACTTAATTGCTGAAATGAGACAAAACAAGCACCAAATAAGATCTTAACATTTCTACACATGCTGTGTCCCACATGCACCAAGAATACAATGATAATTAAAACCAACCATTTTGGCATCACATCAAAATCAAATCAATTAGCCAATAATCCCTTGAACTTTTATCTTAATTTTCTATATTCCTAATCAAATCAGAAATGTTGAAATTGTTTAATTTTTGACATATTCCTCACATAACACTAATAAGCTTCCAATATACAGCAGATAGCTTGTTTTCCTCAACACTTAGACTTGTTTCATTAACTGAGTACAAACTTCAACAAAGTATTTGTAATTTATTTTAGTCTTTTAACTCACCGGCACAGATAGCTCAGCAGAGAGGTCTGATGAGTGGTCCACATGCCCGCCCGGTAGAAACGGGTCAGAATCCGGCAAGGCCTCGTTTATCCATGACGGGAAAAAATCCTTGCCATCACCCGAACCAACTAAATCACCATCACCACACTCACTTTCAGGTGGGAATTCGATCAAATCGTCAATCTGGTCGAACAAGTTTCCGCAGTCGATTTCATCCGAGCCCATTTTGCCTCTAGCAATGCTTTTGTTAACACAATCTTCCTAAAATGAGAAGAAAAAAAAAAAGTTAGACACTATATAATATCAGAGAAAACTTCAAAGGAAGAGATATGTTGTATTCAATACAAAGATGAAAATCCTCAACAGAAAAGAATTTTCAGATTCTTTCTTGAAATTCTTAATATATCCATCAATGACATTCTAAAAAGGAATATACATGCCATTACAGAAATTAGCAATATGAAAAGAGGAAAATATTAACTTTGGCATGTTGAGACCATATATATCTTTAGTTAAAGCATTTATCTTTTTCCTATTAACAAGGAGAAATGCCACAGTCCCGTTACGGAACCATTACGTCAGGATTTGTAACCATTAGATCATCATGTAACCGTCGTGGATAGTTGATTTAACGGTTACAAATTCGAACTATGGTTCAGTGAGATTCGTAAACATATCTGCAATAACAAATCGTGAAACAGTCGAATAATTCGAAGCAAATGTAAACATGAGACTTGTATATAGCTCCGCCGGCACAAAATGTTCACTATTCAACACAAAAGGCAAGAAAAGGGTATCTATGAAATGAGGCCAAAATGCAGGATAAAGAGGGACAAACCTTGAAATACAGTATGCTTTTTCTGTCTGTGAAGGCCAATTAAACTTGAGAAACCCAAAAATAGTGCAGAGCAAATCCTGCAAGAAAAATATACAAAAGGAAACAATTTAGCAACTGAAGTACACTAACTCCATTTTCCCAACATAAAGATTACATTTTTATGATTCTTTAAGAATGACAGAAGCTCAAAAATACCAAATGTAGCGCTAATTTGAGGAAAACGTGACAAATTTG